ACAAGATGTTATAATACAATTTATTGAAAGCATTGATCCACAAAAATCTGCAGAAGATGTCTGTCTGCAATTAAAGCATTGTTCTTTATTCCTTCAAACGGAAAACAACGACATCCGCCTGCACAGCGTTGTACACGAAGCCATCATAAATTATTCATCGCAGACCTTTGGCTGTAAACAAAACAAAAATAATTCTAAAAAGTCTGCAACTGATCTTGCCTGTCAAGTTGCTTGGGCACTAAATCATTTTAAAGACAGAGAAGATGAAATCAAAATAATTCCGCATTTAATTAAATTCATAACAAATTCATCATTTCAACATTTCCTGAATAAGTTGATCGATGCAAAATCATTCTTTTCTCTCATTAGAAAACGAAAACTTGATGAAAGAAATTGGAAATTTGCCAAATATTTTGTAGATGTTTTGGAAAAATTTTTCAACTATAAACTTGCAACTAAAGTACTTTATGAAATAACAGAAATTCAAACTAAAGTGTTAGGTGTTGATCATATTGATGTTTCACATTCGTACAACGAGATGGGTTCAGTGCTTTGGAAGAATAAAGAATATGAAAAAGCTAAAGATTTTCTCGAGCGAGCAATGGAAATTCAAACAAAAATATTTGGACCTGACCATGTTAATATTGCGACAACGTACAACAATCTGGGTTTGGTTTACAACAGTATGGGAGAGTACGAAATAGCAAAACATTTTTATGAACGAGCGATAGAAATTGAAACGAAATTATTTGGACCTGACCATGTTAATATTGCGACAACGTACAGCAATCTGGGTTCGGTTTACGATAATATGGGAGAGTACGAAATAGCAAAACATTTTTATGAACGAGCGATAGAAATTGAAACGAAAGCATTTCGACCTGACCATGCTAATATTGCGAAAATGTACAACAATCTGGGTTCGGTTTACATTCAAATGGGAGAGTACGAAAAAGCAAAAAGTTTTTTTGAACGAGCGATAGAAATTCAAACAAAAACATTTGGACCTGACCATGTTGATATTGCGACAACGTACAACAATCTGGGTTCGGTTTACGATGATATGGGAGAGTACGAAAAAGCAAAAGATTTTTATGAACTAGCGATAGAAATTGAAACGAAAACATTTGGACCTGACCATATTAATATTGCGACAACGTACAACAAACTGGGTTCGGTTTACAACAATATGGGAGAGTACGAAAAAGCAAAAAGTTTTTGTGAACGAGCGATAGAAGTTCAAACGAAAACATTTGGACCTGACCATGTTAATATTACGACAACCTACAACAATCTGGGTTCAGTTTACTATAATATGGGAGAGTTCGAAAAAGCAAAAGATTTTTATGAACGAGCGATAGAAATTGAAACGAAAACATTTGGACCTGACCATGTACTGCAATAATATACAACAATCTTCATTTGGTTATAAACAAACTATAGATATTGAAGCTGAAGCATTTGTACTTCGATTTATCTTTTTTTTTTGCTAGAAACTAAAATACTTCTGTCTTTGAGAAAACGTACAAGAAGATAGAAGAAGAGGAAATGAATTTGTAGCACATTTTCAATGAAGAAGAAAATCAATTTCTCTTTTCATTTTAGGTATGTCTTCTTTATACTAAAGCTGATTAGAAACAGTTGTATTGTAGATTTCTTTTAACAAATGTTCAAATAACAACAGTTGTATATTTATAAAAGATATAAATATATTATTGACAATATTCAAGCATTTGTATTTTCAAGTTTTCAACTGTCATTTATTTACTGGAACAGTTTTTATTAAGAAACTTGTATGGAACTATCAAAGTATATTTATGAGTTTAGTTTGCAATGTCTAGCTATTCAGAAGTTGTGAAGTTCCTTAAAATGAATGTTGTTGGGTCATTTTCTTGTATAATAAGAGTAAATATTGATCTTACAGCAACCATGATCATGTAACATCCCTTTTTGAAATGCTGAAAAGCCCACAAGATTTGCTTTGCTATATAAGTATGAATACAGTCTTTTCTATATTTATTTCAATTCATTCATATAATTTACAAAATATACGTTCTATTTATGAGAATTGTAGTTTGAAATGGACATGCAGTTATTGTTATTTGATTCAATCATACTTGATTTGGGGACTAACACCTTAATTGTCATGACAATGTTGGTTTTTTTTACTTTGGAGGAAATATTTATTTAATGACTGATTCAATAATACTTTTTTATAGTTCAAACTATAAAGGCAGTGTAAAGTAAAAGTTATAAATAACCTGAAGAAGAAAAAGCAGAATATCATTGCCATAGCATTGACAGAAGTGAAAATGACACATTTAACTGTTTGACTACCAGATTTTAGACTACCAGATTTACTAATATATAAAAAATCCCAGCAATGGCGCAATATACTTGTTAATTGGGGGAGGGGGGGCAGAAATTCATATATGCATGTCTTAATCTGTTGAAAACAATGGATTTTAAAGGAACTTAATATGGCAGAACATGAATATATGAATATGTGCCTCCTACCCAAAATAAAGAGTCTGCTATGCCATTTATTTCCAGGGCATCTTGAAGAGCTCTGGCATTGTGTGCAACAGTTAGTATTTCATTTTGCAAGGAACTACTTTTCTTTTTCAAAACATTATTTGAATATTAGACAAATTGTGTACTAACTATAAAAAGTTTATATTTGGAATATATTTCTAGGGCAACACCCTCCTTTAAAGTATGTATCCATGTTCAGGAGTGAATGACATGACCAGACATTTTTGGCTAATGTCTTTACAACTGATAAGAACAGTAAATGAGTCTATTCTACTGGTGTCTTTATCACTGATATGGACAGTAATGAGTCATTTTCATTGCTATGACATTCATGTCTTGCTTTTGCTTTAGTTTATACTTTACATTGCTTTGAAACTGATTCTCCCAACTACATAAATGATTTTACCACAAAATCACAATACAAAATGTTGTGGTTATCTCTGATCCCAAGAAAATCAAGTATAAATTTAAAGTGAGATTTACTACATTTAAATGTAAGCGAAAAAGAACATTGTCACAACAATTAAGGTGTAAATCCCCAACCGTAAATAGGAAGAAATGTTGAATCAAGTAACCAAACTATTGACTTCTCTCCACACACAATTGTTTTAAATGCAAATTATATTTTACCATTTATCACAGTGAACAGAAATTTGTGTATTTACACAGCAAAGCTAGTGTTTGAGCTTTTTAGAAAACTTACTAAGCACTATAAATTTTACATGTAAATAATGTAAACAATGTCTTATTAAACAAGAAAAAGAACCAAACAAACACTCCTTTTAAACCTTTGCCTACAGAATTTGAAAATACAACTGTTGCTGGTCAGTTAAAGGAGAAAGAAAACATACCCAAAGCCAGGGCTAACAAAGCATCTTGTTCCTTAAAATAGAGCCACAAATCCATTCCTTTCTGTAAAGACTAAACACAATAAAAATCCTTTGCTGACAAGCGTTTTGATAGATCTGGCATTGGTGACCACCTGACAATGTAATTTATCTTTATGTATGTTTTCGGTAGTGATGTAGCCAAGAAAAATGGGGCTTTTACTCTAATTATGTGTGTCTGGCCATATTTACTGTTGTCATCTCATATGTAGTGTAGTGAGTCACGAAAAGTAATTGAACAACAAATTATTTATTTTCATAGCACTGGTAGACTTGCTATACGCTACGAGTTGTCATGGTGTTATTAAATGACCGAATTCTGATAATTTCCTTTGATTCTTATTTTTTTATTTTCCGTAAATTATACACGTATTTAATAAAATATACATTTAAGTTGATTTATCCAAAGGGGTGCTCCCACGGTCTGGCGATCTAAGTTCTTGATACAGGGTGTTTCAAAAAAAGTTAATTCTCTTTTTACTTGCTGATGTGTGTAAATTACTGAATAAATAACTGTAGTTTTAAATATTTAAAAAAAGAATTCTAGGTTCTAGCTATGGAATGCGATGTTGTTTGTTGCGATTTGGAAGGAAAATGAGTGAAATGCAAGCGCGTTAAAAAATTTTGGTCAAAGTCGCATTCTTTCACCTTTGAGCATTTTTCCTTCAACATGAAAGGTGCTTCACTTTGATTTTGCTGGTTTGTTGACTGACTATCACACATTTCATGGTGATGTCTCATTTTTCAACCTTGACAATATTTGAAATTATCTGACATTTACAATTTCCATGATTCAGCAAAAATTGATCCTCAAGGAGCCTTAATTAAACGTAGTTAAATACATAATAAATTAATAACTACATACGTATAATATAGAAGCTACAGTGCATTAAAAATCCCAGTCAAGAAACTTATTTTAATTACATTTATACCTCCTAGCGTGGAGATCAATCATTGCCGCTGAATCATGCACTATCGGCTGATTTCAAAGATGACCAGTTCTTTTGAGACATATTGTAAGATATTTTGATTACAAAAAATTTTGCAAAGATCATCAAGTGTACACTCACTACATTGTGGTCAATAATCAATTTCTTTATTTATATAAGTCCTCCATCATGGTGAATTAAAACCACAAACATTTTTTCTATGTTTCTCGATCGCATTAACAGAAAAATGTTCACGTCGAAAATAAAACAAAGAATTAACATTAACAAAAACGAAAACTTTATAGGAACCCGTATATTTAGGTCACACAATTTTCATAAAGATATTAATGTCGTTTACATTTCACACTTCAATCAAAGGGAGAGTTCTCTCCTAACACGAATATCAAAAATCACATTTACCTGAACATGTTATCGAAAAAGTGAAAGATATATTTCGCTTTCGGCAAATATTCTTCGTGTATGTAGGAAGGTAGAGATTTAAATAACGCATTGAAAATTTGAGTTGATCTTAAAATATGCCTTTCGCATATTCATCTTTCGCTTTGGGTTCCTTTCATCAGACCTTCAATCGAAGTGCAGACTATGATAGAAAGCAAGTTGGTCGCTGGATACACGCATGTTGCTGCACGTCATGTTTATGTTGCCGAAGATGACCATGGTTTAGCTGAAATTGAAATCGAAGAATGAAAATATTAAATTTATTAATAAATTAAATTTATTATTAACCAGCAATGGAAATGTCAGGTGTTATGATGGGTGCCTTCCTACCATCAGACATTTCAAATTAAAATCAGGATATTTTCATATTTTCATGAAATAATTGGAATATATTTTTGGAAATGTGCTCTAATAAACGCATGTCATCATTGTTTTTGCTTTCATGGAAACTAACACAGTAAAACACACATAAAGTTCCTTTTATGGTTGTACATAGAACATGTATTAATATTTTGCAACCCTGTTATTGATATGGGTACTTGCAAAGACGTAGTTGTCATAGTTTGATAAACTTGCCAACATAAAAAAAAACACAACCATGCTATTAACAATCTGACCTGTTCAAGTACTCCTTTTACATTGAGCATTTTTTCCAAGGATTTCAGCAGTGGTATGTACATGATTTCGTCATCTTTAATAACCTCTTTGTACACAGTCCTTGAACGTCTTTTCACAACTCTGTGTCCAAGTTTAATTCGTCTGGGTTGCTACAATTAAAATAATGATTGTGCATAACAAGCATTAAAGAGCAGCTGGCTCAAATATGTTAAAAATCTCAAAAAACTTTATCCCAAAACTCTAAACATTCTAAAAAAGTTAAAAAACATAGAAATAAAACTTACAACTAAGCGAAAATGCTCCTCAAAATAAGCAAAATAATTCTGTTTATACTTTGTGGAATTATGTTTGAATAGATTTGAGATAGCATGTCCTTCACCAAATAATTCATCAAGGCCTGGCACATCATTATGATTTAATCCAGCTTTCTCTAAGCAATTTTGGAAACCGTGTTTAATTGCTTTGACTGTTCCGTGGACAAGTTCAGTGGAATCTTCTACAATGTTATCCACACATTTTTGTGTGAGCAGATTGATTTCTTTTGTTTTTAGAAGAAATTGGGCCTTTTTGTGTTCCATTGCTTGAACAGAGACATCAAGTTCATTTTCCATGTTGAATTCATCAATTAAGAGTTTAAGGCCATCCTCATTAGGACAAAAATTGTTGTGAGTGCTACTCGCTGATTCAACGCAACATAGATGACGTGAGTTTAAGTTAACATTGGCGTGTTTTCTTCTAAGATGACTTTTGTAAGAGTTAACCTAAACAACAAATCAGTTAACGCACTGAATAAGTAAATATTTTTAACAAATAACAAACAAATCAGTGTCGTATCAAGAATTTTTGATCGCTTACCTTAGCGAAGGTTGAATTACATTCCGGAATTCGCAGAGAATATACAATCTGGCATCGTGTTCATGAACAGCCACCAAATGATGCAACATTCCAGCGACAGTCGTTGAAAAAAACGTTGCACATACCTGACAACACAATCGTGGCATAATTAGTTGAATTTTTACGAATATTCTTGCGTCAATAGTAAAGAGACAACTCCGTTACCGTTTGTTACCGTTTGAATGAGTAAAATCAGATCAATATTAAGTGTCATTAAGTGCATTTCTTTGTCCAATTAGTTGCGAACTTGCGGCGATTGGTCGATTTGGTCACATGACATCCATTACGCAAAGCGGCACGTGCCTAACTGCCTGTTGCCGATGTATGAAGTCGCGTGGCGTGTTTCTAAACTTCTTGTGCTTTGTTGAAGTGCATTTAAGCGTTTAAACTCTTCTATTGTGTGCAAAATGGAAATCACAAACAATCATCTGTCGCTGACATTATTCTTTTTTTGAAAAACAACAAATTGGATGAAATTGTCGAAGATTTTAAAGGTATTGTCTCATCCTGAAATGTAGGTCGCATGTGTGAGGGTAGTTGTCTCGTGCATAAATCTAGTGTAGAAAATAATTCAAAATTAGATTTATAGATGACTTGCCTATTTTACGTTTTGCTAGCAGGCAGATTTGGTCGAGCGCTTTTAGAGAATACCAACAGCAATACCGTAATTTCATTGACGTTTTGCTTCTTATATTTTAAAGCTAATCAAGTCGACGGCGAGGATTTTTTTCTATTTAGAACCACATGATATTTATCAGATGATTCCTCGAATAAAACTTCACAAGAAGTTTACGTGTATTTGAAATGACGTTACTCAAAAGGTAAATTGAAGCCTTACAGGTTATCTACATAAAATGGTTTAGGTATGGGTTGAAGTATCAGGCATGTTAGCCTGATGAGAGGGTAATATTCATATATGCATGGTATACTTTACTAGATTCTAGTACTACAAGCAATTTTAATTCAACAGATTATATGTAGCATATGAATTTATGAATATGAGTTTTTTGCCAATTATTAATCTGCCGCTGTCCATGAGTATGTATGCTGTAGCAAAACTGTCTGTTGAATCACAATTACTTAGAAAAAGATAATTAGTTTTTGGTTTAATTTTTTCCAGCTGAAAGCAGAGTTAGGACGTATTTTGGAGAAGAGTGATGTTGTGCAAGACATGAAGGAACGATGGGAATTTGCACAAATATAAAATGCTGTCTGCTATTAAAAAGACAAAGCAAAAGAATGTCAGCAGTATCCTTGAAGAGCTGGAGGATTGTCCAGTTGAAGATGAGAAAGGTTGGTGTAAAAATCAATAAGTTAAAATCCCTATTTATACTGAAGTGTTAATGCTTTAGAGAGTGATAATGGTAATATATTCATTCTATGCTATGTTGATTATTTTAGAGGTCAAGAACAGGTGTATAATGGCATGTTTGCCTTATGTGTTAGATGACCAATGCACCCATCGAGATATGAACAAAAAGCTATTTTGGGACATTGTTGATGTAAGCGTTGATATTGTCACAAATAATATTTTCTGCATAAATATGTGAAAAAATTGATAAGTAATTTTATCTCTGTTGAAGGGTAAAAGCTTGAGGAAAGTTCAAGAGATCATTAACAAAAGTTTGTCTCCTGAACTCCTATCAACAGGAACATTAAGAAACATTCATTCAATAATGTTGGTGGCTGAGGGGATGATTGTGGCAAAGTTGAAAATGGAAAATATTGTCAATTCAGTTATTATTTTACTTAGTTCTTTTTATACTTTTAATGCTGAGTATCCTAAAGGCATTAATGGACATTGCAAAAATGTATTTATTCTTTTAGAACATTTGCTTTAAAATTCAATTGGCAATTGTAAGGCTCAATTGCCAACTTTTGTCGATCATTTTATTTCTTCTATGAAGTAGAAAACTTGTGTAGTGTTAATTAATGGCATATAGTAGAGATTTTAAGTATTCTGTGTTTGCAAATAATGTGCTAGTTCTAATTGTGTGATTGATTTTCTTTAGCTTAGTTAAAAAGATCCTCTATATTGGTCAAATGGTCATGGATATGCACCTGAAAAAAATACTTATTTAATGGTAAAAACAACCAAATAAAATTGGTCAAATAAATTGGTAAATTTAACCATTTTTGTTTTTGGTATTTTTGACCAATTTAGGAATTGGTTGTTTTGACCTATAAAAATTGTTCTTCTTAGGTGCATTCAAATGACCAATTTTTTTTTGGTCATTTTGACCAATCTATTTTTAAATTGTAGAACATTGGATTCCAGGGTTAGAAAATTACTTGATCATAAAACTAAATGGCATTTTCAAATCTTGAAAAAGTTTGACGTAAAATAATATTAAATATATAATTTTATTTTGACTATGTTGATTAAATTTACTTCATTCAGTAGCTAAATAATTGCAGGCTACCAACATGTATGAATTGCGTGCCATTTTTTTTAAATGTATGCCATTTTATTTAATAAACACAGTGTTTTGGGAGATGTACCCAAAAGCCAAGAAATGGAAAGAAACATGAATATTCATGATAACTAGGATAATGTTATGACAAATGGCTTCACTTCGTTTAAGTATAAGTATCGCTATAAGTATCAATATGTAACAAACAAAAAAGTATACAAGAGCTTTATTTCCTAAAGCCCATGGCACAAATTTATTGAAAATAAAAACTATGTGGTAGAGAATGTAAAAAATCAAATATATTCAAAGCACTTCAACTTCCATGCCTGAATTTTCATTAGAATAACAAAGTATATTAAAGCTACATTGACCTTGTTTGATGTAGGTGTGGTATAATTGGCAACAAATTGATCAACATGTGTCTGATCATACAACATCAGCTGTCCAAATAGAGGTTTTCCAAGACTCTGCCCAGCTTTTTCCTTCGTCCAATAAATAGAGCATCAAGAGACTCAAAGATCACACCATCAGTCTTCAATAAAATGATGAAGGATAAAATCATGCAATGTATTTGAGTTTAATGATCCAAATGGTGCAGTCAAAAAGGTGTTTGAGATAGCATTGCTAATGTTCTTTTTACTAAATTGTCATTGTTAAACAAGTAATACAAATAAACTAACTTTGAGACAAGTAGGACAGATATTTCCTTCATCAAGCTCAGGAATAACACAGCTCAACATGTTAATTTTATGTTTTTAAATTCTGAAAAAAACAATGACACAAAGAAAGCAATTATGCACTCTTAAAAAAAGGACATAAACAAAATACAGTGCAAGAGAGTAATAGTTGAGGAAAAATCCTTTCCCATCATAAACTTTAGCATTTTGATTTTCTCCAATTAAATACATCTCTTAAGATGAGATTCTTAGGCTATAAAATTGATTGCAACTTTCCCAGCAATTCATACTTAGTACAGCAGAGCAATAAATCAGTGACCTACATGCAGTTACCTATATATTTTAAAGGCATCTATAATGACAGGATACATTTTTGGTGTTGCATAAAAGAATATGTGGTTATGATTAAACTCTTCAAATGACTGACAAATGCTTTTTATTAATGCCTGGCATTCCATCTGCACAGAATGAATCAATTCAAAAATCACAATTGCAAATGCAATTCTTGGTTTTGTAGGTGTTCCACTCCAAAGGCCAAATTGCAGAAGTTGAACAAACTCTGGAGAGCATGAGCAAAACTGTACCTCAACAGTACAAAATGTGCCTAAAAATTGAAAAAGATCTAAAATTATAATTGTGTTGAACCATCCCAGCTAAAATGAAAAAACTTTTGCAGTACATTTTACATATAACATACCTTTAACATCAACAACAGAAACACTTGTTTTGTGACGAGCTGTTTGGCATGAAAAATCATACACCAGCATCTTCATGAGTTTATATGGCCAAAACATGCCATCCTACAAAGCAATGAATAACCTCGTAGAAATTAGTTGTAATCAATCCCCTTTCTTGCAATCATAAAAAATATTAGATTAGTGCTTCATAGCATGTTTTACAATGTAAACTCTCATTTTATTTTTGCATTTTTTGTTGCAAGTGTTGAGAGAGGTAACTGTAAACACTTTTATAATATCTAGCTCATAAAGGTTACCTTAAATATTTCAACATGATGACAAATATTTACGGTTGTGTGCATCTTTAACATACAGTTCTCACAATACTTTGCCCTTGGACCACAATCGCTGCATCTAAACTTTGCTTCATTATCAGAATTAATACACTTCAGATTGCTCCAATTTTTGCCAGCAAACTGAAATGTATTCTTTATAATTAATGTTGCAAATTTTCCCATGCTTTTTGTTTTCTTTCAACTTGCTGGTAATAAGAAGATGATTCTTCACAATCATGGTAAACATCACTTTCAACATCACTGTTATCTTGTTCCATTCCCAGTTCATGGCCTTCCAATGTACCACAATTATCAGGACTGTTAAAAGAACAGCTTCCTCTATAATCCTCAGTAACCAATTCTGACAAATCCACCTCCTCTCTCTCAACATGGCCATCCTCATCATGATACGTGACAGCTAGAGTTGCTTTAAACCTTTTATTGCTCCTACAAAAATTATCATAAAAATCTATAAAATGAAAATAAATGTTGAAAAGTCTAACAGCTATAAGGCCGTTATTTGGTGTACCTTGGCATCTTTTAAAATTACCAGCAAGAAAATCACAAATCAGAAAATATTATCGATATTACCAATGACACAATAACATAAGTTAAACGACCATAGTACAACGTATGGCGTTCCGTTCCGGTCATAATTATATGAAGTTGATCAAACGAAAAACAATCGCTCATAAATATGTCGAACTTTCAAAGTTGAAGTTCAAACGTTAAAAACTAAAACAAAATGCCCAATGTCAATAGCAAACATCGATGCATACAGTCGAACCGCTCAAAAATAAATCGAAGTGCAAAAATATAAGTCGAAGGGAAACGGAAGTCACTGAGATATTAGCGGATATGGTCTATGGTCATACAAAACCATTCAAAACCTACTTAATAAGATATAACTATGACTCATATCAAAAATGGCGGACAACTTAAATGAAATAGTTAGGCGTGTTGTGCCGTCTCTTCAAAATTTACCGGACACTGCTTCCAGCAATACCCCAAGCAGAAGCGATGATAGTACTAGTAGCAGGTCCTTTGGCTCAGTTGAAGAAGAAATCGGCCAAAGATTCCAAATTCCTCGTGTGTCGTCGGGAATTGCTAATAGGATTCATAGTTCCAGAAGAAGTGAAAGAGGTCGGTTTATCCCTTACACTACAAAACAAAAAAGGGAAATACAAAGCCAAACCTGCTGCAGAGTTGGTTATAAAAGACGTGTGTCTACTACCTAATCCAGATTGGGATCAAGTCCCTCGGCGACAAGTAAAGGAAGACCTCGTGAAAAGAAGTTTATTTGTTGACGCATGGAGTCTTGATAAATCGTGGTCAGAAGATCAATTACGAGCGGAATTACACAGTATTTTCAAGAAGCATATTACAGGACCAAACACGTAAGCTATTGAAGTATGTAGTATTCAATTTTGTATCTTGCAGTGGAATTGAATGGGTTAAATTACTTAAATACAATTAATTTTTTTCCAAGCTTTGAGTTTGTAAAGTCTGTCGGAAATGGCATCGCCCAATTAAAACTGCCACAAGGGCAAGAAGCAAATGCCAAAATAATACGACACATTAGTGGGACTGGACCAATTTATATCCGCTCTCTAGTAAAGATCGACAGTGATGAGGTACTGCAACTCTTCATTATATGCCTTAAGATTACACACTGTCCACATTATGACTGTAGATTAATTGCTAGTTCAGTTAAGCTCTAGCGATTACAAAATCATGCATTTACTATGATGAGTTTTATTCAGGATGATGACATTGTTGAATTGAGTGATAATGTGGATAATTTTGTCAGAAGTAGTGATATAAGATCGTATGTATCACGCAATTTGGAGTCCAATCAAAGGCAAAGCAGTGAGCAATATGTTACTGTTATTCCAACTACCACTCCATTGCTCCCAATTGCTTGTGAGACAGGTGAAACTTCCGATGGCATAAGAAGTTCTTTAAATCTCTGTAGCATTGAAAAGCAGAAACTAGATGAAATGTTCCCAAATTGTCCCGCTGAAGTGTTTGCACAAGCTGTAAATTGTACAACACTTGATCTGGCTGTGGACTATGTTATAAGTCATATACCTTCCAAGTCAGGTAATTATTTCCAGGTAGTTAAGAAAGTTTACATAGTCAACAAATTTGGATAAAGTAATGTAAATTTTCACATTTTTTTCAGATGAACAACAATTTGATGGCTCTAAAATTGAGGAGGATGCATGTTTAAAAGACCTATTATACTCTCTACAACCCATCCCTGGGACTCCTACACGCTTGACAGTCAGCAGATCATCAATTTTTGCTGATAGTGTGTCATTTTTCAAACACAGACATTTTGATTTTAAGAAACCATTGAAGGTCACATTTGAAGACGAATCAGCAATTGATGGTGGTGGCCCTAAACGAGAGTTCTTCACTTTACTGTTGCGTGAACTCCTTTCTCCATCAGCTACTCCTCGTCTTTTTGAAGGAAGAGATGGAATTTTTTTACCAATGCACAATACAGATGCTCTTAGATCAAATCTGTATAAGGTGGCTGGACGGATTATTGCAGCATCAATAGTTCATGGTGGTCCTGGTTTTCCATATTTTCCAAAGGTTTTGTATGCATATTTCCTCAACCCTCAGCCTAATGACGTGGTGGATCACCTCCGTCCAGAGGATGTTGTCGATGCTGAATATGTAGATGTCTTGAAAAAGGTGATTAGAAAATTAATCAATTTTTTTTTGTGCTCTTACAACTATGAAAATTAACTTTGGCTTATACTTTTAAAAGCTAGATGCTTTTGATGAAGAAAACAACGAAACCTTGGCTTCTGAAATTCAACCTTTGTTAGTTGAGTCAGGTTTTCCTCACCCCGTCAATATTGACAATCGTTTTCAAGCTATTATGTCCTTGTGTCTGCATGGAGTCATCTTATCCAGGAAGGCTGAAATTGATCAATTGATGATCGGCTTATGCCCACTTCTTGACGTAATCAGAAGACATCCAGACAAGATGGAAACCTTATTTGTGGCTGGTACTTGCCCACCTTTGACACTCCATGACTTTTTATCTGTTGTTCAGTTTGATAATGTTGAGATTCGCATCAAACAGTTTTTCACTCGGTATCTTTCATCACAAAGTATGTTATATTTTTTTAGAATTTGTACATGTTGTTGTTTTGGCAACATTCTTTAAATCATGATGTTAATATACTTTAATTATTACAGGTTCTAGAATTCCTAGTGTTTTGATGTTTTCAACTGGTTGCAAATCCTTACCTCCAATGGGTTTTCATCCATCGAGTATAACTATTCTTCAAAATACATTCATTTACCCCAATGTTAACACATGTCCATTGGAATTGGAATTACCTGGTGAGGTAAAAAACTATGAAGAGTTTGAAAGAAATATGGACTCAGCCTTGAATTTCCAAGAAGAAGGTTTTGGAATTGTATAGAGGGTATATAAAACAGAACTAAGTTTTGTTAGATTTGAAACTGTTTGTATGTTGACTTTTACACTATTAGTGCTGAACTTAAAAGTTACTATATCTATTGCATTTTAAATGCTTCTTAACAAAGTCTTGTATTGGATATGATCAGCTCAGTCATTTTAGTAGTAAATATATCTAACTATGTTGCTGAATGTTGTCCAATACAACTAAAAAAGCTATCAGTCCATCTTGGTCTCCTGCCCCCCTTAGTCTCTGAGCAATATTATTTAGGTGTTCAACATGATTTTCTGTTAAACATACTGTTGAAGATGGCACTCTAACACGATAATTTGACTGCAATTCTGAAACTGGGCCATCTTCTTCAACTCCATACTCATTCCAATCTATTTGTAACCCATCTCGAATGCTAGTCACAGCACTAAAATCACTATTTTGATTAGCAACAATTCCTTGTACCCAAAGCTGCCTTGGGCTAAGATTTCCCTCGGTGCTCAAAGAATGGCAATTCCACGATTCACTTAATTTCTGCAGTGCATTGTTAATGAGTGGGATGTACACCAAATGTAATGCAATCAAATGAATTTCATTATTAGTGTCTAGAATTAGAGTTTCAAGGTATGCAAAAATATTGATAAAACGACTACACACAATTGAGTTAACTTCACGCCAAAGTCGTTCAATACGCTGGTTGTGAACAGATGTACCTGTTATGCAGCTGCCTCTATTCAGACCACGATATTGAAGCATAAATCGAGCAACTTCAATATTCTCTAACCCTAAATCAGTACGCACACGTGAAGGTAAGTTGTACTGATTAACAGCATCCCTAAAGCATTCCATTACAGTAGATGCTTGGTTGTTTGTTGATGCTCTTAAGAAGACAATCATTCTAGAATACCCATCTATGCCACCATGAATTACATACGGTTGAACAAGTTTGTGATTCCCATCCAAATGCCTACAAAAAATTTTTAACCCTTTTGACATGTGCCAATAAACTAACATGATTTTCAATGACTACAAAAGAAAGATAGAGTTTTATTTTACCACCAGTTTTCCCTTAATGAATATTTCACATACCATAACGCATTTGGACAAGGAACGGAATAGCGTCTTCGTATGATGCTTCTTGATCCTCTAAGGGTTACCACAACTGGGTCAACCCGGTGCAACGATTCAAGAACTCGTCGTCGTTGGACATGCAGTCCACGTTGTCGTAACGCACCCTGTATTAATCTATAACCAATTCTAGGCGTCACATCCAAGATTTCACGGACAAGTCGATCAAGAACGCTATTTTCTATGTTAGAAAATACCTGTTGACTTGGCATTTGAAACAATCGTCTTCTGCGACGTATGGTACTTTCAGAAATGCCAAGATCTCTTGCAATCTGCGACCACGAAAATCCAACCTGAGAGTGTAGTGTCCCCAGCAATTCTTCAGAAACGTGAAGTCTGGGTCGACCAACGCAACTCCTAATCTGGTTTACACTTATTTGGTCATTAGTTTGCTGTTCCTCTGCCATTAATGAGCGAAATGATAATACCTCAGACCTTTCTTTCTGGGTACGAACGATACCAAGAAGATCTCTCATATCTGTTAGCAATTGTGCTTCATTAGGAAACGATTCTTGCAGTCTTGCCAATAATACACTTAGATTTCTTTCATATCCATCGAGACGGCGAGAAATATACTCAGCTGAGTCAAAAGACACATCGTTGAATGAAGAAATCAAAAGCTCTTGTAATGAACGAAAGAATTCCTCTAGCTCAATAGCGCTTATTTGGTTTCTAACAGCCATTTTGTTTACTTCGGGAAAAATTATATTAGTTGTTCGTCCAAGAAGACTTCCGCTTCCTACTGCAGTACATGACTTCCGTTTCCCTTCGACTTATATTTTTGCACTTCGATTTATTTTTGAGCGGTTCGACTGTATGCATCGATGTTTGCTATTGACATTGGGCATTTTGTTTGAGTTTTTAACGTTTGAACTTCAACTTTGAAAGTTCGACATATTTATGAGCGATTGTTTTTCGTTTGATCAACTTCATATAATTATGACCGGAACGGAACGCCATAACAACGTATGTATCTCCCACCAGAGCCCTCCATTAGTAAGAGTTGGGACAAACGGTCTGGGGCGAGCGCGGAGCCGCCATTTTGGTTCCTACTTGCAAAGTGAAACTATAATAATACTATTGGAAATTGGGTTTATATGCAAAAGAAGAAGGCAATTTAAGCTTATTCCATCGTAGTATCAAATATATTAGGAATAATAGCAAGCTCTTTGCCTTTTTTTAACGATTTGCGGCAGACCTGATTTAATTTCAATTGGTTTGAGCTTCTTTTGCGGTTTACTAGTTCGTGCTTCAAATTGATCGTGACCCATTGTAAGAAGTATTTTTCGTACGTGAACGTGTTTTCTCGGCTTATGTTCCGACTCTGTAACAAGTTTTCAAGATTTATAAGCTTGGTGGCAAGCGGCAATGTTATCCTGGCATCAGTGTTATCAAATAGTTGGACAAGACTTTGTTCGAAACTTCGAATCATAGTAATCATGCAGATTTGGTCAGGAAAGATTTGTGTTCAAGATTTGTAACAATTTAATGGTAGTGAGTGGTTTATCCCCAATTTAATCCAAGCGTGACATTTTTTATTCTGAAAGATCACAAAATTTTCTTGCTCAGCAGAAAATGATAGACTTTTTTACTTTTTAGTTATTAAAATATGCAATGATTTGACCAAGATGCATTTGGCCTTAAACGTTTTATTCCTTTATATGAAGTTATTTCGCCTTTAACACTCTATAAAGTATTAAAGTTTATTTCTAATAAAGTTTGTTAAGGATTCTGCTGAAAATTTTGGTGAAGCATTTCTTTAAAATGAATATATTATTTCTATAACATGAAATATTTCTGTTGTTGAAGAACAGTCTGTTTGCTATAAATGCTACTGTTTGTAGTCTTTTATATAGCATATGAGTCTGATCCAATTTTTAATTTAGCAAAGAGCTAAATTTATTGGTTGAGGAATGACAAAACTTCTATTTGTGTTTAATGATCAAACAGGGGTGTGTTGGAGGGGGCTCAGCCCCGTTTGTTCAAATTCTATGTCTTGTATTGCCATTGAAATATATATATCAAAAAGCTAGCAGCACCTAAATATATATCAGAAAGCCAGCAATATTTTAATATATATCATAAAGGCAGCAACAGTTGTAATATACCAATCAACGTAAGCTAAACGGAAAACAATAGATGTCCCAACTCTTACTAATAGAGGGCTCTGTCTCCCACGACTACCAGTCGACGTTTTGTAACCGTACTTTACCGGCTTTTAGCCACGTCTCATAAGACGAATCGGGTGATTTGTTTGGTTGGTAAAACGAAAGGGTTTTTCTTCCGGTATATTGTAGGAGCCTTTTTCCTAGGGGTAGTGTAACATATCTCACGTGACCGGAAACGCCAATCATTTAAATTATTCCACAAACTCGACTAGAACGCCGCGCAGATATCATGTAGTTGGTTGTGTCTTGAAATCTTTCTGAATTTGTAAAGGTATGTTGATTTTAAACTTAACCTGTCGTTTTTATATTGTATTTTGATTTTGTGATTTAATGTTTTATGTCCATTTATCGATTATTTTGTTTTTCTGTAAAATATTCTACTTCCGCGTTATGTACGTATGTAAATGTTTTATAAAGATAAATTTGTTGATTTTGGTGAGATTTGGAACTAGCTCGAATCAAGTTTTGGAAAATTAACCTGTTAACTTTCATATATCTTTATATAATAATAAAAAGAAATAAATTTCTACTATATAATAGTAATGTTCTACATCGATACACATCATGTGCATGGTCACGAGGTAGTTGAGGAAATAAGATATTCATGGATAATTTCGTAAAAGCACTATTGCTAATGCGCATTTAATATACACGACAAGTTTTTTTAAAATAGACATGTTTCAACATCTCATGATGCCATCTTCAGTATGAGTGAAATAATAAGTGATACAAGGTTTATATAAAAGTAATATGCTGCATAAATTACAACAATAAAAGGAAATAAGATAAATTAATGGCGAGCGTCCGAGCGTATTATAAACTAAATATTTTAATGAATTTGTAATACGCTCGGACGCTCCCCATTAATTTATCTTATTTCCTTTTATTGTTGTAATTTATGCATCATATTACTTTTACATAAACCTTGTATTACTAATCAATTATGATATATGAGATGTCGAAACATGTCTATTTTAATAAAACTTGTCGTGTATATTAAATGCGCATTTGCAATAGTGCTTTTATGGAAACGTGTAATAAAAATTAATGCCCAACATAAAGTTTTGATTAGAGCCATAGAAATAGACCAAAAATATTGTAAAATTGAATTTATTGTAACGTTTCGTCTTTACTCAAGACATCTTCAGACAAATAATAAATAGGATGTTAAGACAAGATATTATATTTACAAAAAGGTGTTAAATTACTGGTTAAGGAGGTGGTGTCAAATGGATTATATGATAAGGAAGTTAGGAAGTAAAATAAAGAGAAGTTAAAAGAGGTTAAGTGGAAGGGAGTTTCCTTGCACGTTAAGTAAAAGCTTGTATTTATTGATTAGAAGGCTCTCATGAATGGAGAGTTCACAAGAATCGTTAGAAGAGGAGATTATTTTAAAGTCGTCTAAGTTGGGGTGTTTCCAGTTGCGTTAATCTGAGCAAAGATGCTTGATAACGCAGGGTGGGAAACTTGGTTGCCTGTAAGGGGGGATATTCCCAAGTGCTCGGAAAATCTGGTGTGCAGATGACATGTGGTCACCGCATGTGTGGTCACCGCATCTTCAACCTTTGTTCTACTTATGAAAATTTTCATACACAACTCGAATTTACCAGAAAGTCACTCACCAAAAACGGTTTTCCTTCACGTATAATTGACGAAATCACACGTCGCTTCCTTAACAACACCTTTGCCCCCCAAACCACCTGTCTTGACTGCTCACAAAATCCCAGCTATTTTTTGTCTTCCTTTCACCGGCATACACTCCCTTTAAATTCGTACACAAATCAATAGCCTTTTTGCTGCAGCCTTCCCACATATATCTATTAAATTTGTTTTCCGCCCTTCCCAACGTATCTCTTCTTTCTTCCCCTTTAAGGACAAAATTCCCAAACCTCTGAGATCAGGTGTAGTCTATTTATTCAAGTGTCGAAGCTGCAACGCCTCGTATGTGGGTCAAACCACAGGTCATCTACACACCAGATTTTAGAAGCACTTTGGAATATCCCCCCTTACAGGCAACCAAGTTTCCCACCCTGCGTTATCAAGCATCTTTGCTCACATTAACGCAACTGGACACACCCGCAACTTAGAAGACTTTAAAATAATCTCCTCTTCTAACGATTCTTATGAACTCTCCATTCATGAGAGCCTTCTAATCAATAAATACAAGCCTTTACTTAACGTGCAAGGAAACTCCATTCAACTTAACCTCTTTTAATTTCTCTTTATTTTACTTCCTAACTTCCTTATCATATAATCCATTTGACACCGCCTCCTTTAGTAGTAATTTAACACCTTCTTGTAAATATAATATCCTGTCTTAACATCCTGTTTATTATTTGTCTGATGATGTCTTGAGTAAAGACGAAACGTTGCAATACATTCAATTTTACAATTTTTTTGGTCTATTTCTATGGCTCTAATCAGGACTTTATGTGGGGCATTAATTTTTATTACACGAATTTGATTTCCAATACACATTTAATACAAACGACAACTTTTTTGAAAATAGACATGTTTCGACATCTCATGATGCCATCTTCAGTATGAGTGAAATAATAGGTGATACAAGTTTTATATAAAAGTAATATGATACATAAATTACAACAATAAAAAGGAAATAAGATAAATTAATGAGGAGCGTCCAAGCGTATTATAAACTAAATATTGTATTGAATTTAAAAATTTGAACATTGTGGTCAGGGTTAGTTTAGGTAATGTGGAGTGCTTCCTTGATTTTAAGGGTGAATGAGGTGTCGGCAGTGTCGATGATTTTGAAGCAAGAGGGTGAATAGTGGTTTCACACCACTTTCATACAAAACCGGACTTATACGCACACTAATCGACAGAGCATACAAACTTAACAATACCAACAATGGCTTTCAATGAGACATAACAAACACAACGCAGACTTACAAACATTATGAAACGCTTCTGTACAGATATTGACATTCAACTAATTTTCACATCATTCAAAATCAAAAACCTTTTCTCATTCAAAGACCCAATCCCTGATTCAATTAAATCTATGGTGATATATGAATTTGATTGCGCGGGATGTAATTCCCGATACATTGGCAAAACTTCTCGCCATTTATCCACCAGAATCGGGAACATAACCACAACAAACAAAAACTCTCATATCTACCGACACCTTCTTAAATCTCACTCATGTGAAACCAACTATTCACCCTCTTGCTTTAAAATCGTCGACACTGCCGACACCTCATTCACCCTTAAAATAGTGTATTTTAACTTTCTGATTTAATGTTTCATGTACATGTATCAATTGTTTTGTTTTGATGTCACGAATATTGTAGTTAAATATAACTTATAAATTTTATCAGGGCTACATATGTTTTATATGGATAACATTTCTTAAGTTTGGTGGGGTTTTCAAACACAGATAAATTTTGAATGTTTTACACTGTGAAAATACCGACCTTTCACACATCAATACCAATTTACTGCAACCGTCAATTTCAAATTGTATCAATATAGCAAAGCTACAAAATTAACATGAGGCAAAATAATGACACGTCTGAGAATTCCAGTTGTTATATACATGTTTTTATGTACTGTTGCATTATTTTTTACGTCATGGCTTTTGTGAAGAAGTAAAACAAATTCTTTTTTCTTCAATTATTACTTTTTATCAAAATGTTAAGTTGACCATATTCTGCATTGTTAACAGTAATTAAACAAGATATATTTACAACATGAGTATTTAGTGCAAATGTTGTCGATGTATTCTTGATTTATATAACTACAGAACGATCATTTGTTAAAGATTTTCATGATTTCATGAATTTTATGAGCTCTCTGCATAGAATTTCCAATTCAACCGAAGATGACTTTCATTCAAAAACTATAGTCAATCACTTTGCTGTATTTTTCGGAAACAAATTATAAAGTTATTCAAATTAAATAATAACTTTTGTTTTTATCAAATATAAACTTGTGACAATTCCTTCTGGATGTTTTGAAAAAATAAAACCCTATTTTCGGCCTTACACAAGCAAGGACATACAAGTTATCGCATAAATCTTGGGCGTCAGCAAGCATTTTCGAAAGTGTAGTCAGTACTGCTAGTTGATGGGGTGGCATCCTTCCTTTCTAATATTTCGTTATCGTGTGTCAATTTTCCACCAATTTCTTGAAAATGAAAAAATGATGCTATTTTGGTATTGGAAAAAGACAATTGCTGATACGAGCGGTATAATTGGCTATTACATAAAGACGTCATATATGACGTCAATAAGTGTTTCTTGGGTGTTACAGAGAACGGATACACTGGTAAACCCAATAATGTAATAATGTACATTCTATTTCCCTAAACGTATTTTTGTTCTTTTTGAGCATGACTCAACACAAGGGATAAAAAAATCTGCCAGCAAAATTGGACTGTGTAGTTGCCGTTCCCACAAACGCTAAGTTTTATGTTCCTCATAACAAAAACGTTACTAATTTAACGTGTAAATTTTTCAAAGTAAACAGTACTTACGCATTACATTCTCTGCCGTTAAAATTTATGTTTATTTCTTCTTTTGAAATTAATCAAAATGTTTTATGAAAAATGCGCTAAATTACAGCTGAATTAAAGACACACCAGCTAACAAGACTTCGAATCAGATAAAAGTCGAAGAATCTGTAAGTGGGAAGCTTGCATATCGGGAATAAGATATATGTCTGCTATTTGTTCAAAATGTGAAAAGGGGCAACCATCTACCCCCGTGGCTCTGGCGCCCATGGTAAAGTTCGTTTCCAAAAAACTCCTTTGCAAACGTACGCCTGGAAATGACGTTCACCAAAAAGCATTAAAGATTTAGACAAATCTCAAGGTAAAATTTCTTTGCAAACGTACGCCAGGAAATGACGTTCACCAAAAAACATTAAACATTTAGACAAATCTCAAGGTAAAATATCTTCGCAGACGTACGCCTGGAAATGACGTTCACCAAAAAGCATTAAACATTTAGACAAATCTCAATTTCTTTGCAAACGTACGCCAGGAAATGACGTTCACCAAAAGCATTAAACATTTAGACAAATCTCAAGGTAAAATTTCTTTGCAAACGTACGCCAGGAAATGACGTTCACCAAAAAGCATTAAAGATTTAGACAAATCTCAAGGTAAAATTTCTTTGCAAACGTACGCCAGGAAATGACGTTCACCAAAAAGCATTAAAGATTTAGACAAATGTCAAGGTAAAATTTCTTTGCAAACGTACGCCAGGAAATGACGTTCACCAAAAAACATTAAACATTTAGACAAATCTCAAGGTAAAATATCTTCGCAGACGTACGCCTGGAAATGACGTTCACCAAAAAGCATTAAACATTTAGACAAATCTCAAGGTAAAATTTCTTTGCAAACGTACGCCAGGAAATGACGTTCACCAAAAGCATTAAACATTTAGACAAATCTCAAGGTAAAATTTCTTTGCAAACGTACGCCAGGAAATGACGTTCACCAAAAAGCATTAAAGATTTAGACAAATCTCAAGGTAAAATTTCTTTGCAAACGTACGCCAGGAAATGACGTTCACCAAAAAGCATTAAAGATTTAGACAAATGTCAAGGTAAAATTTCTTTGCAAACGTACGCCAGGAAATGACGTTCACCAAAAAACATTAAACATTTAGACAAATCTCAAGGTAAAATTTCTTTGCAAATGTACGCCTGGAAATGACGTTCACCAAAAGCATTAAACATTTAGACAAATCTCAAGGTAAAATTTCTTTGCAAACGTACGCCTGGAAATGACGTTCACCAAAAAGCATTAAACATTTAGACAAATCTCAAGGTAAAATTTCTTTGCAGACGTACGCCAGGAAATGACGTTCACCAAAAAACATTAAACATTTAGACAAATCTCAAGGTAAAATTTCTTTGCAAACGTACGCCAGGAAATGACGTTCACCAAAAAGCATTAAACATTTAGACAAATCTCAAGGTAAAATTTCTTTGCAGACGTACGCCAGGAAATGACGTTCACCAAAAAGCATTAAACATTTAGACAAATCTCAAGGTAAAATGTCTTTCTATTTTTTTCTGGGCCTTCTTTACTATTTGTTTGTTCTTTTGATATATTTAAACGTCTTTCGATGTCAAAGTGTACGTCTATTGGAAAAAAAGCTAAAATAACAATTTTTATGAAAAGGAGGCTTAAAGCCCCCAAAATTGCCCGTATGACATCGTTTTTTGAATTCAACTTCCCAATATTGAGCAAAAAGTCTACTCAAGTAAACTCTCACGTTTGGGGACGATAACCTTTCTCCGCCTGGTCTATTTTTCTATACGCAGTCGTTACATAAGCTTAAACGTATATAAACTAAAACTTATAAACTAAACTTGCTTCACTTTTCTTGACAACACGGTAGAATGACCATGGAGGCATACAAGGTATAACTTTTATGAAGGTTTTTAAAAACTTGCACAGAAATGCTTAAATGCAGGACAACTTTAAACACAAATATTCACAGGGTTATTTTAGCTACCACCTTACTTATCCACTTTCATATACAACTGAAAATTTACGAACTGATAATATTCAACAAATTTCAGTTGTCCATAAATTATGGTTAAACTATATCCATGTTCATCTTTATCCTTTTATAATCCGTAGATGGAGTCAAAAGAAGAAAGGAATAACTACTACATTCAGAAAATACTTACAGATGTTGTTACGAAGAAACTTGTTGATTTATTTATTCAAGAGTGGAGCATTAATTACGGAGTATGGGACAATACAAGTGTTAGTGGTAAGAAGTTGTTCAACATTGAAAAAACAAAAAAGAAACGTCATGACAAACATATTGAAACAAAATTTCAAGATGGTGACACCAGTAAGTGGGATTGTACTACACTGTTTGCAGCGATATTGTATTCCAAATCAGTTGGAACAATACTTGGAACAACAACTAGATCTGCAGTTGATGCACTTCGTATTGTTAGAAACAACTTTATTCATGATAATCCAGGAAGAGTATCTGATACCGAATTTGACAAAATGCTTTGTGATATTGAAAAGTCATTTCAAGATCTAGGATTTTCATTCACTGAAATTATCAAAATAAAAAGTCAACGAAACAAATTTAATTCTTTTCAAGTACTTCCTTGCAAATCAAATCACGATGTGGTTAAACGTACAGAATTACTTAATCAAATCACAGCAGATCTCAATAACTTGCGCAGTACTAACAATAATGAACTAACATATTACTATATTTCTGGTAATCCTGGCAGTGGTAAATCTCAATTAGCCAGACAAATTTGCGAAGAAATGTATAACTCGTTTGACTGGAAAAGAATACGACATTTGTGATGACACTCGAAGGAAAAGATATCGACTCTCTTTGAAAACTTATGCTGAACTTTGTCAACGATTAAGCAATGATAAAACTGTCATTGAAAATATTCAGAAAGAAGCAAAAGCAGCGAAGACAAAATTAAAGATTTTCAATTATTGCTGAAGCAACAACTAAAATCTTGGCAAACATGGTGGATTGTTGTAGATAACGTGGTTGAACTTCATAAAATTTATCCATTGTTACCTCAAGTTGGTGATCATAGCTGGAAAAATGGACAAATTGTAGTAACTGTCCAAAATACAGATGCTATACCACCAGATGGAAGTCTAAATAAACACATTTCTGTTAGTCATGGTATGAACAATGAAGAATGTCGACAACTTCTATCTGTTTTTTGTGATGTTTCAAATCACGATGAAAAATACTTAGAGGATTTATCAGACAAATTTGATCGTCAACCGTTGTTCCTGGCAAATGCTGCTTCCTACGTAGGTAGAGTAAAAAGTGTAAATCCGACATTCACTTGGGAGCAATATTTTAATAAGTTGAATGAAGGAGAACGACAGAACAAAAATGCCAATTTTCAAAAAATAAACACATTTCACTTAGGAATGAAAACTGTTATGTTAGCAGTTCAAAAAAATGCGGAAGAATCCATCTTGTTGGAACATGTTTTTAAACTTTTCTCAAGAATATCTTTCGACCCCTTACCACAAGATGTTATAATACATTTTATTAAAAGCATTGATCCACAAATATCTGCAGAAGATGTCTGCCTTCAACTAAAGCATTGTTCTTTATTCCTTCAAACGGAAAACAACGACATCCGCCTCCACAGCGTTGTACATGAAGCCATCATAGATTATTCATCGCAGACCTTTGGCTGTAAACAAAACGAAAATAATTCTAAAAAGTCTGCAGCTGATCTTGCCTGTCAAGTTGCTTGGGCACTAAATCGTTTTGAAGACAGAGAAGATGAAATCAAAATAATTCCACATTTAATTAAATTCATAACAAATTCATCATTTCAACATTTGCTAAATAAGTTGATCGATGTAAAATCATCAAAACAAAAACTTGATGAAAGAAATTGGAAGTTTGCCAAATATTTTGTAGATGTTTTTAAAAGGTTTTTCAACTATAAACTTGCATTTAAAGTACTTTATGAAATAACAGAAATTCAAACTAAAGTGTTAGGTGTTGATCATATTGATGTTACATATTCGTACAACGAGCTGGGTGTGTTGCTTTGGAAGAATGGAGAATATGAAAATGCTAAGGATTTTCTCGAGCGAGCAATGGGATTTCAATCAAAAACCCTTGGACCTGACCATGTTGATATTTCGGCAACGTACAGAGATCTCGGTTTGGTTTACAATGATATGGGAGAATACGAAAAAGCAAAAGATTTTCTGGAACGAGCGATGGAAATTCAAACAAAAGCATTTGGACCTGACCATTTTTATAATGCGGCAACGTACAACAATCTGGGTTTGGTTTACAGTAAATTTGGAGCGTACGAAAAGGCAAAAGATTTTTATGAACGAGCGATGCAAATTGAAACGAAAGCATTTGGACCTGACAAACATAATATTGCGACAAAATACAACAATCTGGGTTCGGTTTACATTCAAATGGGAGAGTACGAAAAAGCAAAAGATTTTTGTGATCGAGCGATGAAAATTCAAACGAAAACATTTGGACCTGACTATGTTAATATTGTGACAATGTACAGCAATCTGGGTTTGGTTTACAAAGATAAGGGAGAGTACGAAAAAGCAAAAGATTTTTTTGAACGAGCGATAGAAATTGAAGCAAAAACATTTGGACCTGACCATGTTAATATTGCGAAAAAATACAACAATCTGGGTTTGGTTTACGAGGAGATGGGAGCGTATGACAGAGGGAAAGATTTTTTTGACCGAGCGATACAAATTCAAACAACAGCATTTGGACCTGATCATGTTGATATTGCGACAACGTACAACAATCTGGGTTCAGTTTATGATAAAATAGGAGAGTACGAAAAAGCAAAAGATTTTTATGAACGAGCGATGAAAATTCAAACGAAAACATTTGGACCTGACAATGTTGATATTGCGACAACGTACAACAATCTGGGTTTCGTTTACGATAAAATGGGAAAGTACGAAAAAGCAATAGATTTTTATGAACGAGCGATGCAAATTCAAACAAGAACATTTGGACCTGACCATGTTAAATTGCGAAAACGTACAACAATCTGGTTTGGTTTACAGTAAAATGGGAGAGTACGAAAAGCAAAAATTTTTATGAACGAGCGATAAAAATTAAAACGAAAACATTTGGACCTGACCATGTTAATATTGCGACAACGTACAGCAATCTGGGTTCGGTTTACGATAATATTGGAGAGTACGAAAAAGCAAAAGATTTTTGTGAAAGAGCGGTCGAAATTCAAACGAAAACATTTGGACCTGACCATGTTAATATTGTCTTAACGTACAACAATCTAGGTTCGGTTTACCAAAAAATGGGAGAGTACGAAAAAGCAAAAGATTTTTATGAACGAGCGATAAAAATTGAAACGAAAACATTTGGACCTGAACATGTTAATATTGCGACAATGTACAACAATCTGGGTTCGGTTTACAATGAAATGGGAGAGTACGAAAAAGCAAAAGATTTTCATGAACAAGCGATAGAAATTGAAACGAAATTATTTGGACCTGACCATGTTAATATTGCGATAAGGTACAACAATCTGGGTTCGGTTTACCTTAAAATGGGAGAGTACGAAAAAGCAAAAGATTTTTATGAACGAGCGATGCAAATTCAAACAAGAACATTTGGACCTGACCATGTTAAAATTGCGAAAACGTACAACAATCTGGGTTTGCTTTACAGTAAAATGGGAAAGTACGAAAAAGCAATAAATTTTTATGAACGAGCAATAAAAATTAAAACGAAAACATTTGGACCTGACCATGTTGATATTGCGACAACGTACAGCAACCTGGGTTCGGTTTACGATAATATGGGAGAGTACGAAAAAGCAAAAGAATTTTATG